AAATGTGCAACACAATTGCACACCTATTGCGTGTGTGACTTCTATTAAATGCACACTTTCCCTCTCCTATAGGACCCAAACTCACGAATATATCGCATTAAAACAAAGCCTAAAAATATTATTCCTTGGCATAAACCAATGAAGCAAAATATCAAAAAATGTGGCCAGGTACGTCCTTTAAAAGTGTGATTTTTTCATAAGTTAGTTCTAAGTCACACATGTTATTCCTACAGTACTGTACATGTGAACAGTACTTTGCTATGCCAATAACACTTAATCACAGTCAGGATCTTTTTCCTATTACGTTCATTTTGCAGTAGAGTTATATAAAAATCGTTAAATGCATGTGGTACCAGAAAGGTGGTAATACTTGGTGCTTTTTCTTACAATACTGAGGTTGTTGGCCAGGGCTTAATGTGCGTATAGAAATTATTTTGCAGTCTTCAAAAGGGATCCACACATTTGGCGTACTAGATTCAGCAACATCAACTGATGCAATGACAGAACCATTTGTCCAATACATCATACTTTCATCCTGCGTGATACTGGTTACCATCATATCTGAAAAAAAAACATTCATGGAGTACTATTACACAGAGCTCCAATTTGTGCACATGTAAATTCATTATGAACAGGCTGATGCTGGTGATGTGCATACATTACAAGGGGTTCTTGCTCTCCCCATGCATGTCAACCATCTTGTATTATTAAAGGGAATGTGGAAGTATAGGGAATGTGGAAGTATAGGGCTAAATTTAAAAATGTTACTGAAAACAGAACTAAATTGCAGCCTTTCACTGTGCCCCTATTGTTTTGTTCTATCTTTCTAAATTTAGCCCATATATACTGCCACATTCCCTTTAACCGCAGGTCTATTTACTAGAACGGATGCAACATACTCTTAGCAAACAAAATGACCGTTGAACCACCGTACGTGATGTTTGCACCTGCCCACTGTCATAGTGCATGGTTGGTCAGTCACTACAATGGAAAATGACGCAATTCAGACTACTATATATATATGTAGGCTCGGTTTGCTCACAAAATGTAGTCTAGTTGCCTTAATCCTTACATACCTGTATTGACCACCTCTTCACAAGCTCCACTACTCCATGGACATCTGAGTATTTTCCCATTGGTTTTGTTTGAAACCCAGAGATCCCCAGTGTGTGGTTCAAGAGTAAGAGCTGACACAGTAAGGTTAGAGAGATTGACAGTCTCCTGTTGTTGTACATTGCTACCCAGGTGTAGCAATTCTAGGGACACATTTCCATCGTTATTCTCTTGGAGCCAGTATGCTCTCCTGAAATAAAAAAGGTACAATGACTCGATACTGCCCATGGATAATATGTACAGAAGGAGCCTTCACATTAACCCAGGGACAATTGGCAAACCTGCAGGAGACAGTTTACCAACACGGAGAGAGCAATTATTCATAGATTACTTTCCATGGCAGGGAAATAAGAACGACAACACTGACAACATATATACTAGTGAATCGCTATTACCTACCAAGCCACATATATTATACTAAGGACAAGAGTGTCCAAGTACAGCAAAGATATGATAACCATGGCTACTAAGAAGGCAAAGAAAAGAATATTATACGTACTGAACGTACATAATTATCTCTCTGAATAGCGTGTGTGGCATAATGCTTACCCCCTTCGAAAAGAGTCCACAACCAAATTGGTCAAAGACTTCACAGGATCGAGGATTGTGTGCACTCTTTCAATATTGTACGAATACACCACCGGTACCCGCCACAATTCAAACAGGTTGGTAGCTAAATTCTGTCCAGCCATATAGAGTCTCTCTCCTTGCCACTCAAACGCCATAGTGGAGACATTGATTTGAAGATCTTTCAGAAAAACCTACATAAAAGTAATGCTAAAAATCCGGTGGAACAATTGAGGCAGCAACAGATGCTTAGGTTTCTTTTTCACCTCCACATGTTTGCACCAATGTGGGTAGGCACAGCTGAAAGAGTGTTAAACTAGACAACAGACATGGAAATAGTTGTAATTACATGTTTGGCCAGCCCTTATCTCTGCACTCCCATGCACAGAGCAGGCATGAGAGGTCATCATTTAAGCAAGCTAGATTCAAAAGTCTGTAACTCAAATTAGCTACATATCCCACTCTAGAGGCAATTGTCAATGATGATTGTTTACTTCTAGAGAGAGAGTCGAGCTGTGTAGCTCAACATACATGGCTATTCCAAGTGCATTGCGAGCAGTCATCACAGCAACACAGTCATTCTGGGGACTTTCCCCCTCCCCTCTCCCTGGCATCCCATCATAAACTTACAGATATTGTATCTCCATCCAGTGATTGCATCAGTATAGAGTTTATGGTACTGTTGTACCAGTACATAAGTCGCGAGATGGTATTCACAGAGACTGGGTGAACAGCCACATACGTTGCTCCTATTCCAGAGCCTCCGTATAGAAATGACTGACCACTGGTTACTGCCAACAGCTCTTGTGGTGGACTCACATCTAGATGAAAATTATTGCATTGAGTTGAGGCCTTTTACCACAATCTTAGTAAAAGAGCACAAACTATGTAGAAGGTATATAGTTACCATTAGTTGAGAGAGTAATCGAATCAGACGAAACTCCAGTACCTCCATTATTAACAGCAGACACCTGAGAAGAACCAGTCTTACATATGTTGTTTTAACATGTTAATAATAGCTTACCTGCACATTGTACATTTCATTATTCTTCAAAGGATAGGAGAGCACGTTTAAATCGGAAAATTCTCTTACAATGACGTAAGATTCATTCTCCATGGTCGTTAACTCCTAAATGAGGTTAGATATAATTATACATAATAGACTGTCGTAAATTCTAGGCAACATAACAAGCAGCGAAACAGAAGGAGGCTATATACATTATTGCAATGATGAAGCAAAAGAATTTGCTGACTACAGTGTACAGGTTCAGATTAGATGTGAATGATAAGAGGGAATATGTAGATTGTACCATGTTACAAGGATTGTGGTGAATGTAACTGAAAAACTTACAAGATTTGCTGAACCACCGCTTATGCTCACACTGTAGTTACTAACAGTGCCATCAAGAGGATCCCATACAATAAGAGCAGTAATTGCATTATCATCCTCTAGACTTGGTCGGAACACATATGCCTTGACATTCATAACCTTTCCTGGTGCTGTAGAGAGAAAGATAGTCAGTCGTTTGGTGGAAAATACTTCTGTACTTGCATAATGCAAGCCTTACCATGCAACATTGTATAACATAGTGCTAGCTCGAGAGTGTATAAATTATGGCAGCTAGGAACACTTTCTCCAATTGAGAGTTTACATGTTAGTTAAGCATCACACACAAACACATACTGGCAAAGAACGACATATAAGCCATTTCCTTCTAGCATAAAATCCGCCATAGATATTTGACTTGAGTAAGTAGCTTTTCTGGACTGAACTCTAAATAATAATTATTATTGCAACTGAGGTTTTGTGTGCTTGTAAATGCAGCTTGCACATCAAGTTAATTTTTCAGAGGAGGTAAGTTGAACTACTTCTTGATTTTTCTTCATAGCGTGAATGCTACCGTAATATGCCAAGGATAATAAAAAAAATAGACCTTGTTTAAATACTTCATCGACAGTTTGGGTCCCATACATTTCTATGGGAGAGGAGAAAGTAGAATTTGCACATGCATCCATGCATACGTAGGCAATGTGTGCTGCGCACTCCATGACAAATAAATTTGGCCAAAGTAGCATTCAGCCATGAAGTTTAGAAAATAATGTGGTCAGGTACCCTTAAATATGCGGCTACACAACCTTACCCCTGGGAGGTGATGAAAAGACAGAGGTGACAGATAAACTATCATCAGACTCCAACCATAGAGTATGAGGAGTTACAGTAACATTCACTTCAGTGAAAAATGTTTGATTTTCCAGACGAATGAATGTATCTGTAGTCTGCGATAAAAACACACAGGAATTTTGTGGTTAAATTACTACACAGTGTATACATATCTTCTCAAACTTACAAACGTTTTCGCTGGATCCATTGCAGGTTGACGAAATGGAGTCAGGGTATACTCAACTTCATAGAGAATTGAGTTAGGAATGTTTGTAGAAGAAACACCCCACTCAATGACAATCACTGAGGTACTTGATTCATTTTCTCTAAGTCTTGGAGCATAAGATAATTGCCCTGCTCTTACGTTGGAGAGTCCTGTTGCATCTGTTAATAAAAAGGATGTATAAATTGACTAGTGATTAATATTAGTCACCGTTTATTAATTTGGGAGGGGGGGGTGACTGCTGTATAATAATTATGTAAATCAGAATCACTCCCACAGTTTAAAACTGCCTGTGTAAGCAAGCCAGAATCCCCTAAAACAAAACTACAACCAGAACCCATCACCATTTGACTTTCTGTTCCTTCGTGACCTTCGTGTAGTAAACCTTGATTTATATTTTAAAAAATAACTCCACTGTTGTTTGTACTTGTTCCATAGTTAATTAATAAAACAGGATGCTGAATGAAGTCGAAGGGTGAAAAAAGCACTGAAGTGCACACCCCTGGGGCAGAACCAGCGCTATTACAAAAGCGACACTTATACCTTGTTGCCAAGGAGCATGTTCTTTTCACACATGGAATTTGTACGATGATAAGCCTACTTTAAAATGGTGTGAAAAACTAGCCAGCAACAGTCCAACTCGCAGCATCGGTAGTGTGCTCGGTTTATCAGGGACGCGGCTATCCCAGCTACTAGGCAGAATACGCAACATTGCAATCATATTTTCTCTACTGATGCCCATTCATGCGTGCCCGTGCAAGCTTGTGCACAGCTATGACCAAAAAAACTCTTGCATGCCTGTAGCCGGAGTATGTGTATGTTGGAGTATACCGTGCCATAGCACAGTGGTTTGAGGTGTGCCTTTGTGTTGTGTTGTGTTGTAGATTCGAACCCCTACCAGCTGAGTTGCCCTGGTAGCTCAGTTGGTAGAGCGATCGCCTAGACTGCAGAGTGCCGTGGGTTCGAATCCCACCCTGGGCAACTCTTCTTCTTCTTTTCTTTAAAAGAAAGAGCTGTACTGGGTGAAGTTGACTTATTTGCCCTGCCTTGCCTTTCTACCTCGCTACCAAGTTGTTGAGTTATGTCAGTCAATATGGTGGATCTGGCCGTGGTAAACAAAACCCACTCTCACTTTTAAGGTGAGCGATTTCAGATTGAATTCCGTTTCAAGCTAGTGCCCCTTGTTGTCGGGTAATAGTGTGAGATGCCAGATTAAGCAGAGCAGACAGACATACGAAGAACATATCATAATTACCCCTATAGGGCATACGCCAAGAGTCCGTGACAAAGTAAGGGAAGGATATTGCATATCAGGTAGTGAACTAACCAGGTAGTGGCTGGAGTATTTCTGACACCACACAGACAGCCCTAACAACATCAGCTTGTGGAATCATGCCATTCCATTTCCATGATGATTACATGTTTTCATGACGACCGCATATTGTTCGAAAAGGCCTCAGGCAATTTTCTTTAAATTACTTCTTCACTCCTCAGACTTGCTAATTGTAGCACGCATGGAGGTGAAACTTGGTGCACATGTGTGTAACATCGTTTCCATGACGACCACAACAACAAATAGCCTCAGGCACTTTTCTTTAAAATTGCTTCCTCACTCCTCAAACTTGCTAAGTGTAGCACGCATGGAGGTGAAACTTGGTTTGCATGTGTCTTACATTGTTTCCATGACGACGACCACAACAACAAATAGCCCCAGGCACTTTTCTTTAAAATTACTTCTTCACTCCTCAAACTCGCCAACTATAGCACGCATGGAGGTGAAAGTTGGTGCGCATGTGTATTACATCTGCAGGAGGCAGAAAGAATGCCATTGCGCATAATGGTGACGGACCGTTCGCTCCTGGGTGAGTCGCGCACGAGTTTTCTCTCCCATAGAGAATGTATTGAGGAGGAATATGAATTATTATTATGCTAATAAGTTTGGAAAACAAGGTAGGAAAAATCCGAGAAATATACCTAAATTCACCATAAATCACCAGCGTTTTTGCTGTGCCATTGAAAAAAATATCTGAAACATACGCCCACGCACAATCGTTGCTAACCTTTTAAGGTAACCTCTACAATTTGTCTGCATTCCCTCATTGCCTATTTTAATAGGGGTGCCTGACGACTCTCCTCCCAGTTCAACCTTCGCATCCCCTCGCCTCTAGCCAGAAGTTCTTTGTTGACAGTCGTGGCTGATAACAAGAACCCCACCCTGTTCCTTCAATAGCAAGGCCCTCCACTGCGCTCTACCACTGCTCTGCTGTCGTCACTGCCACCCAGGCTTCTCCATCCTTTGAGATAAGTTGCCTTATAGCTTGAAAAGAAGGAGGGCAGTAGATATGTGCAGAATTCCGAGAATATAAAGGCTAAAGGTCCCTTTGTCAGTCAGACCCTGGTAAGGTAAAGGCAGTGGCTAGGGCCTCCTATCATGCTGACCCTGGTAAGAAAAAGGCAGCTGTGGCCCAGTTGAACAAAGGCTAGGTCAGCAGTGGGATAAGAGTGCAGGTCAGCAGTGGGATAAGAGTGCAGGAATGTACAAAGTCAGCAGTGGTGATAAGGGGCAGAAAAACACTTCAGAGTCCAGCCAACTCCCAGATAACCTTATAATGGCTGGGTATCCTGGTCAATCTATCTGCATTACCTCTATAGTCAACCCGTTTTTCTTGCCTACTCCTTACCCTGTCTGGCTACTCCTCTGTATTATGCTTTGTGTTTCACTTGATGGTGCATACTATCAAAGGGGTTGGACTGCAACTGCACTTGTCAAGCTGGACCCTGAACCCTGCAAACTTCTGGCTGCTACTGCCGGCTTGCTACTAGCTGATTTGACCTCCACCTTGGACTAGCTAGATACGTATAGACCTCTCCTAAAGAAAAAAAACTTTCCTTCACAATTCACAACAAGCATATTGTATGATGAATGTTGGGTTAGTTGCGCATGCGCCCGCTAGTCTCTCGCGCAAGAATCACGCAGAAGTGTCAAAATCGCAAACTATGTCACAGCCATCGGCTCATCGCCACTGCCCCCACAATGGACTGTGAGTGTGTGTGTGTGCGATCATGATCTTTGCAAATCTTCTGCAGTGCATAAATCTCCGCCCACACGTGCGTGAACCCTAATGTGTGCAGCCCCTTGCTCGCTGTTCTGCACTAAAAAAGGGTGGGACTGAGCATGTTCTAAAAAAGTAAGTGGAACAAGTGGAAAAATCATTTCTTCAAAATGAAGGGGGATGTAGGGATGGCATAAATTGTGTGTGTGTGTGCGATCATGATCTTTGCAAATCTTCTGCAGTGCATAAATCTCCGCCCCGGACGTGCGTGAACCCTAATGTGTGCAGCCCCTTGCTCGCTGTTCTGCACTACAAAAAGGGTGGGACTGAGCATGTTCTAAAAAAGTAAGTGGAACAAGTGGAAAAATCATTTCTTCAAAATGAAGGGGGATGTAGGGATGGCATAAATTATGAAAAAGGATACCAACAAGAAAGATGTTTCAGCTGAAAACAAAAATCATACATCCATCCCTACATCTTTCTTTACTCACAACCTCAACTGTGATTTGTTATGAATTAGTATATATACCTACACAAAAACGAGTGCCTATATACACATTCTTAGACAGAGCTAAAGAAAGAAAGATGTAGGGATGGATGTATGATTTTTGTTTTCAGCTGAAGCATCTTTCTTGTTTGTATCCTTTTTCATAATTTATGCCATCCCTACATCCCCCTTCATTTTGAAGAAAAGATTTTTCCACTTGTATAATTATATATAGCTGGAGCGTCTACCGATACTTACGCTCTAACAGTGGGTTGGTTTTCACGCCATAACCTTTGAACACTGTTTTGAAAAATCTCCATCTTAAAAACCAAGCAAGTGTCACTGAACCAGCTGATATTTCACTGGCTGGCTTGTTGTCTGTGGTGGCACAAAACGTGGCTAGAGACAGACGGATGAACGGACAGTAGGACACACTCATTACCACCCATCGCTGCACATACATACGCGTCTCAATGAAAGCTTTCATCTCTTCCATTTATACGGCTTACACTAACATCAACAAACTTACTCTCTCGTGGAAGGGTGCTGGAAGTGTCTGTAGCTGGGGTGCTATTCCCAAAATTGCTAGTTGTATGTACTTCACAGTTGTAGGTTGTGTTTGGTATCAAATTATGGAACTGGGCGTTGAATCTTGTGTTTAATCTTGAGAGTTCCATGATGTTGGAATTGTCACTCTCCGGTGCACATCGCACTATATAACCCAATACAACTTCAGGGTAGAGGAGAGGAGCAAGCCAGCTGACATTCAGTGTAGAAGGACCTGATGCTAGTATCATCAGTTCCGCCGGTGGGCCAGATGGCTCTACGGATAATATAAGTATGAAAACACAAGGAAAAGTATGCATTACAACAGTGTGTATGTACTGTAGGTGAGTCGTATTGGCAAATCTGTAAATTTGCAGGGCCTTTATTTCCCATTCTCAACTAGACTTTGTCGATAATGCACACCACCTTGTTGTACCCACGATTGTGTACATGTATCTGGATACACAATCTTGATACATGTAGATACAATGTACCCCATGCACTAAAAACATGGCAACAATCTACTACACATGTAATACCTTCTGCATCTGGAGTTGAGAACTCAACATCACAATTCCCACAAGTACTCGACCCTAGCTGACACACTTGCACCTCATACACAGTTTCAGGAGTGAGATCAGTAAGTACATGTGTAAATTGCTCCTCATCTCCACGAATCTAATTTTAGGGAAATAAATACCATTCAACAGCAGTGACTCAGGAAGCAATGGCAGGAAATGACATGAAAAATGTGTAAGGCATGACACAACTACAGAAGAGTTGTTTTATGTGATGAAGATAACCACTAACTGTACTGTATAAAAAAATTACCAAACTAAACGTGATTGGTGTTTTAAAGACATCATACAGCACGATATATGAAGGATTTGCAGTATCTTCATCTTGCGTCCACATCAAAGTTGCATTTCTGGGTTTGATATCGCACACCATGAGATCTGAGAACCACTCCTCAGTGGAAGCAGGTGGTTGACATGAAGGTGTACACTGCATGAAACACATATGTGTAGAAAATGCAAACATAAACCAACAACTACAACTACAAAGAAGCTTTAATGATTAGCGAGGTGTTTCAACTTTCTGCAATATGCAGGCTAGTACACCAGGTAGTATATACACGTATTAAAGAACACTGGATCAATACATACCCTAACTGCAACTTCTGATGCCTCTACAGGGCATGAAACTGGCAGAAGAAGGTTGAGGTAAAACAACGTATATACCAGGCACTCTAAAACAGGGAATGCATAATAATTAACGCTCGGCGCGCATGCGCAGCGAGGGTTACGGTAGTTGGGTCTGTCTGTCTGTCTGGTACTCGTCATCTCACTTCTCGAGTGTTCGTTCGTCTCACAAAGGATACCACCTACTGAACGGGCAATGAAGGTCATAAATTTCTCTTTTCTCTGAAAACGCTCCGTTGAATGCTAGAGCGCGAAAAAGCCAATATGCAAATAGACAACGGCTTACCTCAGTCGGATCGATCCGCGTGCTCGATTTGGGGATCGTTTTCTTTTACTCGATTTTCTTGGTAAATCGTTGTCTATTTATTCGCGTTAGCTTGTAAACGGTCCTAAAGACGTCATATCCGTAGTATCCAAAGCTTCTAGTGCGTGATGCCCAGCCCACTATATACAATCCGCGGACTAAGGATGCAAATGACATTGATTGGCCCTAATTGGAGATCAAGATCTAAGACTTAGACAAACGCATGCCTCGCGGGAAAAAGGGGGCGTTCACACGAAGTCGAGACACCAATCAGATCACAGACCGTCCAAATCAATCAATTTCGCGTCCATCCGTAGCCCACAGAGTTATGTAGCGGCATCACACACCGAAGAGTGTTTTGCGAGATTGATTACGAAATCGATTACAGCAAAAAATAGTGAAAGATCGATTTAGACAACGATTTCCCCCCCAAAAAATGGAGTAAAAGATCGATTTAGAGATTGATTTGAGATCGATTTTTGACCAAAAATCAAGTACGTGATAGATTTGTCGATTTTTGACCAAAAACCGAGTACATGATCGATTTGGAAATTGATTTTTGACAGGCGGAGAGCCCTTACTTTTTGCAGAAACGGCGTTTCATATCGCCGAGGGTTTGAACTTCAGTGCTATTCATTCATACTGCATTCATGTAATTTTGAACGAAGTTAAGTGCGGAACGCACTGCCATGCCTATTCCACCTGGCCTCTTTAGGGATAGAAACACCAATGGCCAGTTGGAAAATGCAAGACAGACCTACCTGGGACTGCTTGTATCTCATGGCTTCCTGTGGCACTTACTCTTGCAAGGTAAGCGTACAATGTGTTTGATGCCACGGAAACGCAAGTTGAAAGAGAGATTTCGACCAATCAGATATGGATTATTGAACCATGGCCCGATATTGACTTCTGCGTGGGTGGCCAATGTCGGAGCACCTTCAATTAGCACATTGACAAATTAACTTGCTCATAGCTTTTAAAGCAGCCAAAAATAGCGTTATCTGAAGCCATTGGTGAATACTTCGTCACATACTGTAGCATAAAACGTGATACAGAAAGATTGACACACATAACCTAGGTAATGTGCATTTGCACCCATCAGTTGTAGTAGCAACACCATCCATTATTGAACTCATTGGTTCTAGGCTAGAAAGGACAAGTGTGCATGGATATGAACGCAAACACATACCAAAAACCTTCACAGGAGCTGTTATCAAGTTGGTATAGCGTGCAAATAGCAACCTTCTAGCTAGGTAACATGTTTTTAGAGGATATAACATTAGCACCCAATGAAAGGGCCTATAATGTACACATAATTATGTAGGCTGCTTCCTACCAACTGTGGGACTCATAGGCATGTACATAGTACTCACTAACTAAAGGAAGGAAGTTGTCACATACATTAAAGACATAGTCCCCAGTTAGTACTGGTGTGAACATACGCTGGTGTGATTGGAACTATAATGGAACACCATTCAGCATAGCATATCATTTTCAGAAGACGCCAGCGATTGTGGGTTGACGCTCAGCCAGCCAATGGTAAACCTTGGAGCGATCTGGAGAGTTCCCTCCTGGCGGTGTTGTAAGTGCAATAGAACTGCTAAGTGTGCTCGTTACCCTCGGCGCGCATGCGCAGCGAGGGTATATACAGTAGTTTGTTTGTCTGTTTGTCTGTTTGTCTATTACTCTACATCTCACTCCTCGAACGTCTGTTCGTCCCAGAAACGATACCATCTACCCAACTGGCGACGAAGGTCAGAAAATAAAGGCGGTTTTCTCTGAAAATGCTCCGTTGCAAAGCTAGAGCGCTTCCGGCATTGTACGGCTAATGCGTAGTCGGCCTTTTTTTATCGCTGCGGAAAATGCGCATGCGGTTATAATGTTAATTAGCACAAACTTCGACCGGGCCGCTTGCTCTGTGTATCTTGAAGGCATAAGAAGTCACAACGAAGGGCGTGTATCGACTCCCGCATGCTATTTACTAGTCCGTGTCAGACTCTCCGCGAGCTACTAGCGTGGATACCACGAGTAAACGCATACTAGCCCAGCCCATCAATTAGAGATACCGCGCGTGCGCAGTTCGCCGAGGGTTTGCACTTTCATTGTTCCTGCGCCAAGAGCTGTAAGCTCTGCTCTTGCTGTTTACCGGGGGACCTAGGAAAATGCCAGAACAGGGGACAGAACCGAGGACTGAATTACTCCCACATGTCCACCGCCCTTGTCTCCTCTCGGGTATGGCCTTCCTGGTCCTCTCGGGTTTCTCCCGTGCAGTGCTTCGACGCTGTCGTTCCCCCATCCGTGCCTTCCACCTCTCGTCCGTCTGCCCCTCTTCCCTATCTTCGACGCTACCAGGGGGGGGGTGGTTTGCCAAAAACCATGTGGCCCCTCGCGGTGTGTTTAGCTGCGCCAACTCTTCCCTCACCGTGCCCGTCTCCCTTTCAACCTCGACCTCGACCTCCATTCCGGCGCCATTTTCTACTTTCTCCTGCCAGTCAACCTCCACTTCCTCTCTACCTAACGGAGGCTGCCCAAGTCCCCTCCCCCTTCTAGATTCGGTCCTGCACCTGTAAGTTCCAACCCTTCAACATGTCCCCAAGGCCGCTGAGCCCTACTCCTACACACAGAAGGTTAACCACCCTGGTGAGGCAAACTAGGGTGTTGTTAGCACGATTAGAGGAGGGGCAAAACACAGCATCTTTGAGGTGATTGGCGTGGAGACTGGAAGGGCCTGGGGCCGATCCAGCAGAGAATGATCTCAGAGCTCCTACCACCTGCTCCACAGACTACGATAGGGAGAGAGAGAGAGGAGCCGCAGGGATTGTAGAAGGATCGACACAGGGATATCTTGCCTTCATATCGTTGAAAACATCGGAGGATGGGAGGGCAAGCCCCATGGAAGTGAGGGACTGAAGGGCCTTCCTGTACTGACCGTCTTCCACAGCACAACGGGCGCGAGTAGCATTGCTGCGGTGACGAGACCTGGCAAATGGAAGTTTCGACTTAGCTCGAACTGAGCGAGCTCTGAGGCCCCTAACACTGGCAGTAATATCAGACCACAGACCTGATAGGTCTCCGTCCTTCCACTTCTGAATCCGAGACTGGATGGGGGGAGGGGGGGTGGGGGGTTACTAATACACATTTTGGTAACATGAAAAGCTTGCACCAGGGGCCGATCTGTGAAGGGTTTGCCGCCACCTCAGAGAGCACATCTCCACATGCTGTCATCCAACATCTATGTGGTGCTTCTCTCCTGCCCTGCCTGAAAAAGGGTGGTGGTCTACGGCCGTTCGCGGTTGGGGAGGTGCTCCGCAGACTTCTAAGTGCGCCGCCAGGGCGGTTCTCCTGGATGCTCTGCAAATTTTTTCCCCCCTGCAAGTGGGGGTTGGCCTCCCTGCCGGCTGTGAAGCCATCCTCCACTCGGTCATGATTGTCCACGAAAACCCCAGCATCCCAGCCGATCACCGGTTTACTCTCCTTGTGGACTTCTCAAATGCCTTCAATTCAGTAGACCGGGCTGCCATGTCCCTCCATTGCGTCCTGGATGGAATGTTCATACGGCTCTCAGCCCAACCTCCTCCTTGATGACCAAACCATCCCCAGTTGCTGTGGGGTTCAACAGTGTGACCCTCTCGGTCCTCTGGGGTTCGGCCTTGTCCTCCATCCCATTATTGAGAAGATCAGAGAGTCCGTCCCCAGCCTGCTTATAAATGCTTGGTACCTCGACGATGGTATTTTTTGTGGCAGCCAACAGGATCTCGCTGCGGCTCTCACCATCATCGAAGCTGAAGGTTTGTTCCTCAACAGGGGCAAATCCTTCATCCACGCTCCAGCTAACTCCACCATCACCCATCCCCTTCTCCGCGGCATCCCCACCTCATCAGAGGGTTTTACTTTGTTAGGCTCCCCAATTGGTCCAACCACGTTCTGCGAAGCCATTTTTTCTAAGAGGATCAGCAAAATCCAGGATACCCTCTCAAGACTCGCGATCTCGAGGACTCACAGATGGAGACCACTCTACTCCGATCTTGTCTGGCTCTCCCCAAGGTTTCCGCTATTCGTCATGCAGGTGACTGGTTAAATGTCGTCCCATCCTCTGCCCTGGGCCTCCACCTTCTGGATCGGGAATTCCGATTCTGCCTGCAATACTGGTTGGGTCTCCAGATGTTTGAGGAGGGTCTAAGGTGCCCCGTTTGTCATGCCGTGGCCGACCCCTTCGGGGACCATCAAGTGGGTTGTGGAGGAAACTGTGATAGAATCCTCCAACATAATTCCCTTCGGGATGCAGCTTTTTCAGCAGCTCAGTCAGCTGCCTTGGCGCCCCGAAGGGAAGTCCTCTCTCTTGTCCCCCGCACCCAGAGCCGGCCAGCCGTCATCTACCTCCCCTGCTGGAAAAGGGGCCGCTCAGCTGCTTTGGATGTCACTGTCATCTCCACATTGCAGAAATCAACCCTCCGGGGTGCTGCAGAAAATAAGGGCCACGCTCTCTTGGTTGCCGAGGAGAGAAAGTTTTCTTCCCACGGTGCTGCCTGCCAGGCCGTCGGCATCACTTTCATCCCCCTCGCCATAGAGTCCCTAGGTGGCGTGAGTGACATGGCTGCTGAAACGATCTCCAGCCTAGGTCGTCTTTTGGGCCAGCGCTTGGGGATCTCTCCAGTCGAATCGACTCGTCATCTCTACCGAAGGCTCGCAATATCACTCTGGAGGGGAAACGCATCGCTGCCTGGATTCATCGTTGTCCACAACTTGCTCCCTCTTTAGAAGGTGTAATTTGACTTCCTTGTTTGTGTTGTTTTGCATTTTTTGTTTTTGGTTTTTTGTTTTTTTCTCCCTTATTTGTTTTTGTCACTTAAAATGCTGAATTTGGGTTGTTTTGTGTATTTTTTGGCTGTTTTGTTCTTTTGTCCTTTTCCCCCCGTTTTGTTCCTTATCCTGTAGTACAGTGGGTCCCACTTAATATCATACCGTTTAACCGGGACTCACTGTATGTTCTTACTAATTGACTACACTGCATTAATGCAGTGTAGTCAATTAGTAAGAATGCAGTGTAGTCAATTAGTAAGATCATACAGTGAGTCCCGAATGGTTTGTGTGATTGCAGATTAGAAACATTCATGTGAGTTAACCCATTTTGGTGTTGGAATGACATTACTTTCCAGAGCCTGCAGTTTGTACAACTGAACCACAATAAAATACACCGTTTATCTGATCAGATAGGAATTACACACATGGCATGTGTGGACAAAAAAGGAAACTAACAGTAAAAAGGGAAGTCACGTCAGGTATACATACATACTCAAAACTCATCAATGCAAACATGACTGCTAATTCAAGAAGTGCACAAACACAAACGTACTACAATATGTCCAGCCTATAGTGGAGAAAGTGGGTGACGGCAGAACATAGGTAGAGGTACGGTACAAGGAAAAAGAAGTGCAACAACCACTCGCTGGGGAGTGTTATCCCTAGACTTACGCTCCTCCAACGCACGACCTTTCTAGGGGAGTATTTGCAGCACGGGGAGAAGCGCGTCGGGGAGAAGCGCGTCGGGGAGAAACTCTCCCCAGCGCGTAGGCGCGTTGCCTAAGTGACGGGGAGACGTGTGTACGCGCGTATAATAACTTCGGCCACGTGGCAGTGTGTGCCGTTCTTCTAGCGTATACGTACGTGCGGAGAGAGAACGAGAGCAGCCGGCATCGAAGCTCCTTACACCTGGTACCCGCCGCCCGTGCGTGTGTCTCGTGTGCCTTCGTGTACGTCATACGTGGATAGGCTCTAGGCGGCACGCACCGTCGCGTTTGGCGTGAAAAGCCGCCGTCGCCGCTAGACGAACGACGTCGAACATTCGCAGCTATGCCAGTTGACTGGTCCTCTTTCGTTCCCGTGTTTTGTTTGGAAAAGGGCACTAAATACGATGGGGAATGCTACATGGAGAGAATTCGAGACATTATTAAAATTAACGGACGTTCCGTGTCGAAAGAGGACAACATTTCGAGATCCAACTTGCAGTCTGGGGACGTGGTAGTCGTTCAGTATCGCAAGTCGCATTTTGAGGGTGTAGTGGACTTTTCCCGAGAAGAAGAGACCATAGCGAGATGCCCGCAAGCCCGCCACAGTAGTCCCGACGGTTCATCCCCTCTGGCAACCGCCAAGAAGGAAACTGAATCCTCTTTACCGCGACCGGCAGGGAAAAGAGCTAAGCGGCGGCGATCTAACTCTCCCGCTTCATCGGCTGGGCCTGCAGCTAAGCGGAGAAGATCACGAAGGCCGTCAGGTACGTTAGTATAAACTTTGGACATGCCCGCATATTATGTCTCTTTCCTTGTATTTTTAAAGGAACTATTATTGCTGGCTCAAAGCATGCCGCTCCCACCATGGAAGGGTCCTCTGGCTCTGCAGGTACGTTAGCCTCCTGGCTACCAGATATTATGATGTTAGTGTAGTGGGTATATACAAGTAGTGCAGTGGGTCCTAAAATAATTACCAATAAAACCTGAAATCCAAAACCCATTTCCTATGCTTTTACATTTTACTCGGAATACGGATACTGTCATATCCCGTCTATTGGCAGAAAAATCGAGCATTTTTTAGTTTTTGCTGGGGTATTGTGCTGGAGTCCTGGCTCTCTCTTCTCCACCTGGCTTTTATTACATTATCTAAACAGCTAAAACAACTGCATTGTGCGTTAACTGGGTCACAGTATACACACCTGCAGTACACAGTATAGAATATCCCTCATATTATCATATTTTTGGCTTGCACAGTGGGTATGATATTAACTTCCTCCTTAGTCCTTATTCGGCCTGCCAGGCACTGGCCTCGGGGCGTGTGTGCTGCCCAGTAAGCCTGGGCATCGGAAATTTGCTACACGTGGGGTCCCAGTAGACTCGGAATTGTTGCTTCTCGAAGTATTATACTGTCCTGTTCGAGCCATTGTTACACCTTTGTATGGTACTCCCTGATACACTTTCCATCACACTAACTGCGTTCTCTATACACTTCCCTCGTTATCGCGTATGGGCAGTGGGGGCAGTGGGTTACTCATTGTTGTAACATTCAGGGGTGTGCTTTGATGTTAGGCCCAGCAGGGATACAATGGTGTTTGTTTCACAACGGGGATTTTGGTTTCCCGCCCCATGGCTGATGATGCACATAAACTAGATATAGGTAGGCTAGCTTTGCCTACACATTTTATTTCACATTAGGTCAGTGTCCTTTGGGAACCTTATTGTTATTGTTCTCTATAATTTGCAGTGTGGTAGCTACTATCAGCTTGTTAGGACAGTTCACCCTGTTACTCTAGTAACAAGTTAGCTTCTTATCTTGGACCCCATTGTGTGTCTGGAACCACAGTATACAGCTAAATAGCATTTTCCCCTCATCTTGGGTGGCCTAACTACATAATGTTCCTAGCACTACTGATCTTGTTGTAGGTAACACTGAAGTAACAGCTATTGTTGGTAATGCACTAGGTAAGAAAAAGCGCATATTCGTAGGGGAGGTGCTTTTTTTGTGGCATTTTGTAAATTCCGTCATAGATTTGTGTTAAAAGAGTCATAAACCAGCACTAGGCATGTGTGGACCATGTAGGCTGTCAGGAACCTCACATATAAACATACACATGCACATCCCTTTTGTGCAACAGTAATCATCGTTTTTTCACATCACCAGTTTCCTCAATCTCAAGTCCTGGATGTCCAGAAAAAGATGGGGACGTTGAAGGTGAGAGCTTGTCACTAAGAAAATGCATTCTGCCTCAGGTGGACGTATATATAATTTTTGAGTTTGTATCTATACGTACACCTAGAGGTTTTTACAAGCTGAAATTGCCCACAAAATTTCGTTTCAGCAATTTCATAGGCTGAGACACACCTGTAAAGAAGTGGTTGTAAGGCATGAGGATTCTCTTAGTATCAACTTAACCGTGTCATGGCCAGCGACCAAACTTGGTCATTACACTACTTTTTTTGTCTTCCTTGTAGGTGTATACAGTCTATACTTTAAAGTTATTGAAGCAAAGCAGGAAAGGATGTCCGCCCAGCTTGATCATTGGTTCACGTTGATGAAAGACTTCGACCGCCGTTTTGCATCTATTGAAGGATTGTTTGGTGAGGTAGTAAGGGATGTGCAGGGCTTGAAAAACCGCCTGGACATGGTATATGTCCGACAGGATCGAATCCAATCAACATTGGCAGGGAGTGTCCCTCCAAGTCGGATATTTCGACTCGCCAAGCATTGACGCTGCAGTTGTGACATGTCCGTCACCTTATTTTCCACAGTTGTCCAGTCCTCCTTTGTATGCGACACCGAAACCAAAAT